TCGATCCATATTTTATTTAAGTATGCTTTTTCATGTCGTTGCTTGTACCATGTAAACTCAAGTTGAATATTTTATTTTTTATATATACGATTTTTAAATTTCGGAAAAAGGAATGTCTTCCACATGTGCACCACTTTTTTTTCAATTTCATGCGAATTCTTGTATAGTGAAATATTGAATTCTTGAATAAAAAATCGGAGTCTTTCATGCGTTCTAAGTCCACTATTATATCGTGTATCTTGAAACCTCGTGGATTTAAGTATCTAGAAAAATGGAAGGCGACAGAGTTTATATTTTTCATGCTATATGCAGTCCTAAAAACTTATCTGCGCAGAACGCTATATAAAAATTTTCTTAACTTTCATGCTGCTATGAGAATTGTATGTTCAGAAACTCTAATAAAAAATTATGGGATCAGGCATTGGTATTGATCGAAAAATTTTGTTCGCGATTTGTAAAACTATATGGAGAATGCGTCCTTGTATATAATACCCTGTAAACAATTTTATATTGCCGTTAGGTTGCGGTTATATAAAAATGTTACCTAGTTATATAACGTCAACCTCACCGTCCCTAAGAAATTTTATTACCTGGAGATAACTATTTCCTACCCTGTTAGTTAACTTGTTATATAACATTGTTATGTTGCGGTAACATACGGTAATGTACCTATGCGATATGAATCAGCACTTTTTGAAATGCTTTTAATTTATGCGTAAATAATTGATTTTTCTCTAATAAAAAAGATTTACTCATATTTCATTGTATTTATTATTTAAAATTATTTTACAATAAACAAAGTAGCAACAAATATTTTATACTAAACAAAACAGTAATAAGTATTTTATAACAAACAAATAGCAACAAATATTTTGTACTAAACAAAACAGTAATAAGTATTTTATAACAAACAAATAGCAACAAATATTTTGTACTAAACAAAACAGTAACAAATATTTTATAACAAACAAATAGCAACAAATATTTTGTACTAAACACAACAGTAACAAATATTTTATAACAAATAGCAACGAATATTTTGTACTAAACAAAACAAGTAACAAATATTTTATAACAAACAAATAGCAACAAATATTTTGTACTAAACACAACAGTAACAAATATTTTGTACTAAACACAACAGTGACTTATTTCATAAATATAGCAACAAATATTTTAAACAATAAAATTTATTTCACAAAAAATATAAAAAGAAAAGAAAAAAGTTACAAATTATTCTTGTATTAAATTGATTGGATTCAGTTTTTTCACGGCTCTCTCGTGCCTCTGCCTGGCGAACCGCAGCCACTCACTCGTTATTTTATCAATTTCGCTTTCTGGCAAGCTGTATTTTGCCACAAAAACACCTTTAAACAATTAAATCATAAATAAACTACATTTCAATATACATACAATATATAAGCTGTTTACTGCATTTATTACCTTTGATTATGTCTATATATTTTGATATTATACATGGGCAAGTTTTTCTTGCGACCTAGCCATGAATATCTCATGGCTAGGTTATCCACAAACATTCTGCTTAATGTGTTCCCAATATGATCTTTGGGATCACGCCCACCAATCCTGATAGCAAACTCGGTCTGCAATTAAAACCATGCTTTGATTAAATATAATTGCATTTTATTAAATAAATTCATATATTTTGTACCAGATCAATTTCAAATTCTTCTGATTTTTCTCCACCTAGGTTTTCTTCTAAGTTCTTGACTTCTTCCACTGTCCTCAAAGGAAAATTTTTATCAAATATATTTGTTCTTTTTTTGAAGGAAGATGCCTGTATTGAAGGCTTTTCTAGGTCGGCTATTTTCTCCTCTATAATGATCACTCTTTTTAAGACATGATCAACAGAGGCTAAAAAAAAAATAAAAATTGGAATATGTATATTATATTGAATATTATGATAACTTACCTTGAAGAGTTGTAAAGGCATTGATCATAAAAGAGATTAATTCTGTAATAAAATTGTTATAATTACAATCAACATATTTAATTTATTAACATGAGAACATACTTAAGTATTAAATTACCTTTGGGAGCACCAACAAGCTCCTGAATGTGTGCTGCTCCCACAAACATTTCCTTCTCCCTATTGCTTTGAGGAACTATGATAAAAATAGTTACTATTAAATTTGAAAAATATTTATACTTAATAAAATCTGAAATCATTATCATTTCTTGTGATTGGCCCAGTCTCTCCAGTTATTCTGGAGCTTACTCCACTTACAGTAAATTCTGGAACAGAGCTCCTTTCTGTAATAAAATTGTTATTACGATCAACATACTCGTCTCTCAGTCTCTTTTCGCTCTTCCCTTTGGTGCTACAATAAAAGCAATAAACATTTAATTTGCAAGATGTACAAAGTAAATTAGTATAATGAACTACAATCATTACTTGTCAAAGCCTCGATTCTTGCTTCGAGGGCAAGCACCGTGTCACTGGTCTTCTTTCGGAGACCCCTCCCAAGCTGCTCCTCTGTAGATGAGTAATCTGAGTCAGCTGCACGCTTGCGAGCTGACTCATAAGTGTCTAAAATCAGAAAACAAATAATGTACATGAAATTAGATTACCTAAACTCTAAATAAATAATATTCTCACCGCAGAACCCAACAACCGTTATGGGGGTTTTAATCCAAGTGGAGTAATCCGGCTCCACGCGCCTTATCATCAATCGTGTCGGATTTCTGCATTTTGATGGCCACCAGCACTTTGACCACGAACCATCGTCACCTAAAATTAACCAATTACTTGGAATTTCAGTGTGACCAGATTCGTCACAAATAACCGCAAATTGCTTTGTTCTACAAATAAAGCAATATAAGCATATTAGTTTAATATTACAATATCGTTGAATCACGAAATATATTATTAACTTACCCCAAGAGATCCATAGCGTTAATGTTAAAATTCAACAATTCACTATCACAAAACTATAAAAAACAACAAAACTCACAAACGCTAACCTCAATATAAGAACCCTTTCGACGCTACCGGAAGAATAGAATGAGGCTTTATTTACATTCCTTAAAGCACGTGTTGTTTTAACATGAACTTGTCTATGATGGCACAGACTCACCAACCATAGATATACAAAATATTATCATGATACCAAACAAATGCTTATTTATCTATGATACCAACATTAAATAAATTATAATTGACGACGGCGCCTTGAACTAATCAAAGAAATAAAAAAATTACTTTTGAAGGTTAATTCACAATATTAAATTAACATCGTGTGAAATATTTTATGAAGCGAGAAGATAATAATGGAGTTCAATATAAAAAGACGTAAGCAAATGAAAGATTTGACACCGCGAAGAATACGCCAGATTGTCGCTCAAACAAAAAAACATTATTTGAATAGTATAAAAATCAATCGGAATGAAAGTGTATCATCTGAACAAGAAGTAAATAGTAATAATTATAATGAAAATATTCGATATAGTACCTTTTCAAATCTATTAGACACCAATTTCGAGAAACAAAATTTTGAAGATCATGCCACTTCAGAAAATGTATTTTGTCAAGATAATGATAATACTACCCTAAGGGAAGATATACATAATTTGGCGAAGAGAGACAATTTGACTTTGAATACTGTAAGTACACTTTTAAAAATTTTGGTTAAGCATGGTCACAAGGACCTACCTGTGGATGCTCGAACGTTGTTGGGCACTCCAAAAACTGCAACAAAAGCTATTCAAAAAATGAATGGCGGATTTTATATGCATTTTGGTGTTGAAGAAGGAATTCTCAACTCCATGGAAAAACATTTTTTCGAATGCCCTGAGAAAATTCACTTACAACTAAATTGTGATGGAATGGCAATATCTAAAAGTTCAAATAGCAGTTTTTGGCCTATATTATTGATGTTAGATATAAATGAAAAAGTGGAACCTTTCATTGTAGGCATTCATCATGGTAATAGCAAGCCAGCCGATGCCAATATTTACTTAAGTCAATTCGTAAGTGATATGAAGACGATTTTCAAAAATGGCATTATTTTTAAGGAGAAGAAATGTGATGTTTTAATATCGAAAAGTGTGTGTGATAGCCCAGCTCGAGCATTCATAACCTACGTGAAAGGGCATGCTGGTTATGAAGTTGTCCAAAATGCATTCAAGAAGGCGATTTTGAAAAACACGTAATTTTAACAGAAATTGATGCTATATTGAGAACAGATGAATCATTTAGATCAAAACAACAACCAGAGCACCATACTGGTCTATCTATTTTAGAGGATTTGGGGATCGGTATGGTTTCCCAAGTTGCATTGGACTATATGCACATGGTGTGTTTGGGGGTGACAAAGCGCCTGATTTCTCTCTGGATGTGCGGATCTAGAGATATTCGCTTTACGGACGAGCAGAAAAGGAATATGAACAATTATATAATAGAGCATAGAAAGTTGTTTCCTTCGGAATTTTCCAGATTGCCTAGAAGGCTAGACGATCATAAACATTGGAAGGCCAAACAGTCTCTTACTAACATGATGGAGAAACAGACAGAGGCGCTGCAATGCATAGCCGATCAATTGAAAATTCTCAATAATACATTAAAAATTAAATTTAACAGCCAATACAATTTGTTTTTTATTCCTTTTATATATATATATATATTATATCATATATATATATATATTTATATCTATAGTATTTAAGATATATATATTTATATATATATTTATATTTATATATATCTCTATAGATACTTTTATATCTATCTTTCTATATATATATCTATATATCTCTTTTTTATATATATCTTATATTTGATTTACTTTATTTAAAATAATTACATTTATTGTAGCTATAAAAATACTATCTTTTTTTTTAAGTGAATATTATGGTATTAAAATATCTTCTGGCATAAGAATTTCTGATGTTATATGCCATATATATCTCCTCATTGTATACTTCTGAAATATTTAAATCAATTAATTTCACTACACATTTGAAATACAATTATTTGGTATCTAACCGTTTCCAAAATCATCACTATATTCCGTCAGTTCTTCATCCAGAGGAATATTATTTACTCTGCATATATTATGCAGAGTAAATACTGCATACACAATTTTTCCTGCCACATCAGGTGTATAATGCAGTGTCCTTTGACGATGCAAACATCGAAAACGACTTTTAACAACACCAAATGTTCTCTCTATTACATTGCGAGTCTTTTTGTGGAACTTATTGTATTTCTCCTGGATAGAGCCTACTGGTGTCCTATATGGTGTGAGTAGGCAATGTTTCCAAAGGGTAACCTGAATCTCCTGCAAATGTCACAATAATATATATTTTTTTCCTTATTTGATTTGCGATATTAAATATATTCTTGAATTGCCCAATAAATATGTCCCATCATCAGCATTATGAGTTAGCAAGGCTCTGACTGTCGAAACCTTCCAAATGGCTGCGTCATGAGTGGAGCCAGGATATCTCTGCTCTCGCAAACATATCCGTTCATCGGCATCACATATCTAATATTATTTATTATCATGTTAGTCTTCAAAATTCTTAAGCAAAATAAAATAATACTTACTACTTCAATATTAATTGAGTAATAGCCCTTCCTATTCATATAAATAGTAGCTGGTGCCACGGGGTAATCTTTTTTGGGAGCCACTATACTTATGTGTGTGCAGTCTATGCACCCAATAATGCCAGGCATGCCAAACTTCGTATAAAATCTGTTAAATAGCAACATATTACAGACCATGTTCAATGTACACGAAGTGGTGTAACATATACCTCTTTTTATTTTCATTTCTTTCTGATGAGGTTTTAGGAAAATTCACGTACTTTGGTGTAGCATGCTTTATAATTAAATCAGTCACTGTTTTAATGCAGCGACTGACTGAAGGCTGGCTCATAGAATTTAAATGGCAATTGCCTACATCAGTCTGATATGAGCCATGACCAAAAAAATGAATCGCTGCAAGTACCTATAATGAAATTTCAGTTATAGTTATTTTCAAAAAAAATTAATTCATTTTAATTTCCAATACCTGCAAATAAAAAGGGATACTCCATGATGCTGTATGAGTCTCCGCATGTGGTTCCAACAGTTCTATTAAATCTTTCATAACATTTTTCGTTAATCGAAATTTTTTATAAAAATTTCATCACTCACTTCCCATACATTATCTGCATCTCTGAGATACCTAAGGGCGTATCTTTGCCTGTATCTAAAATGTTGTGGCATTTAATAATTTTAATACTTTTGAGTAATACATTCATTACAATAACAGTATGAATTATATTAAAATTCAAACATACCTTCTTCTCCTACTATCTGCTGCCCAAATTATTCCAAAAAACGCCATATTAACAATTTGAAATTCACAATAAAAGCTAAACCAAACCTATCACTTGCTTACATTAACAATAACCTCAAAAAAGCATGTTAAACGCATAAATGTCAAAATAGCAAATGTCAAATCTGTTCATAGTACAACTTCTCGTCAATGTTATAGCGATAAGTGCGAGTTTCTGACTACGTTTATTTTCAGAGGGTCAGCGTAACATTAATGTTATCATATGATAAAACACATACCGCCGAGAATAACTGTTACACTTATAATGACATTTTAAACGACATAAGTGTGAACTTGTCGTAAAATTGAAACCGAGAATCGGCCCATTAGTTAACATTTGTTATATAACTTTGTAATTTCAAAATACATTGCGCGTACATTTCATTTAGTTAACACTTGTTATATAACTTTGTAACATAAAAAGTTACATTGCGGCAACAAGTAGTGTTTACTGGGTACTCATGGTATTTTTTACATGATGATAATGATGCAGTAAGGGAAGAAATCAGTGTTGACCAGTACGGCTGTTTTCCATTTGAGAGTTATTTGGGAGTTACTAAAATTGATACGAGGACCAGCAAAGCTTTTGCAACAAGTATCATGCAGACTACTCGAACAATTTCATGATAAATCGAATGTAGATCCAAATGATATTGAAATACATAAAAAAAAATCCAAGATTGATTCTGTTAAAATAAATGGATATAAATATATTTGTCAATTAATAAGGATTGTATATATTGCTCCCTAATAAAAACATAATGTGTGTAGATGAAATAATTGAACAGGAATCGCATTTACTTTTTCGAGGGTTTCTCTTACCCTTTTAACCCACACTTGAAAACAAAGTTTTAAGGTCTTTGCTCATACATTTTTTAGCATTGATGTAATCAATTGCTTTTTGTTTGTTCCGCCGGTCAGAGTTAGTTGAATCGACTGTAAATAAGAATTCATTAAATACATTGCATATTAGCTATAGAAACATTAACTATAGAAAATATTTGTAATCCCTGAAGATATCCACATTTTTCAACTTTTCTTCTAAATCGTCTAATTCTTGATTCGTCTTAATAGGTAACATAAAGTTAGTTTTTTTTCACAGATTTAATCTGTGAAGCTGATGCCTCGTAGAGGTAGAGCTCAGAGTGTTATTGTCTGAGCTCTCAAAACACGATTGATTTTGAGTTCTTTTTACATACTTCTTCACGTTTTTATAATCGGTGGTGCTTCTCATAAACTTAGCCTCCAATTCAGAGTAATCTCTAAACGAAGGAGGCTCGCACGCCTTCAGCATCTTACTTAGTTTATAGCCTGCTGCATTTTCTGATCATAATTACATAGTCTTCTCCTCATTTACAGCCCATGATGAGGGCACGTGTCCGCATGAACCCTCTTTTTAAAAATCACTATATCCCATGAACACTATCAAATATAATGGTACCAATTTTGAAATTTATTTATTACTATATATCAGTTATAGTTATTACTATAACTAATTATTTCAAATATTTAAATTAAATAATTGAAATTCATTTTTAAAAGAACTTACCTCCATATTCACTTATTTAAAATTTAACTACGTAAACTTATCTTAAACAAATACCTGCAACTGTTGCGACGATCAAAACTGGAAAGAAATACGAAATGCAATTGCGATCCTTGCAACTACAGAAAATTAAATTTTGGCGCGATTATTTATTAGTGTGGGCACTGATTTATATTTTCTTCAAAACCAAATGCGTAAAAATGTTTCGCAATATGCATTTATTAGAATATATAGGATGATATATTCATAAATAATATCAATAACAACTATGATACAAATAATATTGATAATGACATAAATAGGAGTATTTTTAGTAAATGTAAATAGATCGAACCAAATTCTTGAACGTGTATATAACTGGCAGACTCACAACCGGCATGCCCAGGTATTTGACAGTTTTGTGGGCGTGGCTTATCGGCGAAGGCGTGGCTACATTTAAAACCTAATTTTTTTATGAAAATGATTAAAATATAATAATTTATTCAATTAAATTTCATTTATTTTGCATTATCTTTGTTTGACATAAAAATCTTCAACCTACAATCAAGTATTTTTACATATGTCATAGTACATTGATACCAAACGACATGATCTGCCGTGTCAAAATATGTTCGAAGATATATTCAAATAGTGCAAATCATTGCGAATATTTATCAATTACTGTATTAAAAAGTGGTGAAAAGTGAATATTTATTAATTATTGTATTGAAAAGTTGAAAAAAGTGATTAGAGGTTTTGCAAAAAGTGATTAGATCGTTCTTCCAAATGATCGACATAGTGAAAGTTGTGTTTTTTTTTTGATAAATTAGTCGCGGGCCTGCCAGTGTTTATTTGGCACAGTTTTTGCATTTATCATATTAATAACTGAATTAGTGATGAATATTAATAAATAACTATGAATATAAAGTAATAATGTTGTGTTTTATATTAGTTCGAAAACGTTTTCAGCCTACTTTTTGCAATTTTAACAATCGTTCTTGAGGTTATGTTAGTCCGCGGGTCTGCCGGGTTTTATTTGGCCCATTTTTGTGCCAAATGTGAAAATAATGAAATCAGTTAGTTGCAAGTCAACATCCAAGCTATGTATCATATATATTAATTAATATTGATTCTAAAATTGTAAGTTGAAGAGTGTCAAATGATATAAGACTTGATTTGTCTTTTGCCCAGATTTTTCTGAGAATATCTTGAAAATCCACAACAATGCTTGCAGCATATATAGTGGGCTTGAAATTATACATGATATATTAGTTATTATAGAATAGAATGCTAAACAGTCATTTTGAAAATATATATATATATATATATACAACCCCTGAAAAAAATACAAATATACAATATAGAAAACAATAAAATTTACGCTTGAATATGAATCTTTTTATTTCAGAAATAATTTATCTTACTTAAATTTAATTTTAACATATTGTGCAGCCATGGATGTTATTTACCATTGGAATTGGAGTTCCTATCCCATCATTACCGTGGTTGCTACCGCGGCCGCCACGGTTGTCTTTGCGGTAATTTCCGCGGCCACCGCGTTTGTTTACGCGACCGCCGCTGTTGTTTTCTTTACCGCCATGGGTGTTTTCTCTACCGCCGCGGTTGTTTCCTTCACCACGGCCGTTGTTTCCTCTACCGCCGCGGTGTTTTCTACGCCGCCGCGGTTGTTTTCTATGCCGCCGAGGCTGTTTCCTCTGCCGCCGCGGTTGTTTCCTCTGCCGCCGCCCCAACTCGCATCGTCAGTGGACTAAAATAATAATTAATAATATTATAATACCTGAATGCTATGTATTGTTATAAAAATGTATTATTATAAAAATTTAACATTACCTTTTTGTAACTATAAAATCTTATTTCTTGATCTTTGAAAAAATGTAGGAAGTATTCCTCCACGTTTCCACTATCTTCATAAAGAACCGGCAGGAGCGATAATACACGCTCCTCCTTTTGAAACAGCAATTTTATCGTTTCGAAGCATAAACTAACGCCCTTCATTTTGTAACCTATTATAAAGAAAAATTATGAAAAATCCCTTAACTATACCAATGTATACATGTATGTATATATATATATATATATATATATATATATATATATATATACATAAAAAGAAATATATACCTTTGTTATGCTCCGAACCCCACACAACAAAACCGTGTGACCAAGAAACGATGTCACCGAAACATCTCCTAATTTCGTTGGTCTCGATTTTGCACTCGAGCTATAATAATAAGAATGTTCTAATTACACACATGTCGTGAAGAATAAAAAGTGGATTTGAATTACTTACACAAGCCTATCTTCCCAATGGGACTCAGTTTGTTAATATTATCAGTATCTCTTCTTTCGGTATTTTACTCACTAGCGTGAAATTCCTCACAGCTCCCGCCATTTTATTTAAGAATGCTAGAAAAATAAAAACTATAATAATAGAAACGAAGAAATAGTTTTTAAATAAAATTATATATGTAATTTTAATAATACGCTATACATATCAATAAAAATCATGAATTTTTGTAAAAAAATATAATTTCTTACGTTTCAAAAAGCTGAAAGTACTTACAAATTTTTTATTCTAGTGTTAAAAAGAGACTTTTTAAAAAATTCATTCAAATTCAATTTCGAAAGATTTACGATTCCTATACTCTACTTTAATAATAATAATGTTTAAATTGTATATAGATTTCTCTGTAAACTAAGTGGTGGCAATATGATTCAGATCAGATGCCATTATAATAAATAAATAAAAAAAATAAAAAATGTTTAAATTTTGAATACTTTTGGTTCAAATCAATCAACAATTACGGAGTATATTCTAAAATGAAATTTTCAAAAATCATTAATGTTTATAATTGAACCATCAGTTTTCTTAGTACTATAATCGTAAAGTATGTTCATTAAGACCAGGTCGCTATACCAAGCCAATCTTTAATTTTAATTTTAACAAACGTCAAAAAAACTGATTTTCTCAAAATTTGATGAATTTTTAAAATTAATCTACCTGTTGTAAGACCGTAATATAAAACTTATCAGTATCATTTCCAACAAATATCTTTCGAACATTTTTTGAATGTTCAAAATCGATTGAGAATAGCGGGCCAAAACGTGGACTAAAATTTTTATTATAATCAAAACTATTTGTGGTTATCTGCACCTACTTATATTAAATCCAATTAATTTCTTCTTTAAACAAAAATACAGCAATTTACGAAAAATATTATTA